TTTTAAAACATTTGAACAACACAACTTTTGACTGGTAGTGTAAATATAAATATAATAAGTAATTGGTTCATATGTATGATTGTATACTATATTAAGTAATGCAGTCTGTCAGGTATTTTGCAATTAAGTTTCCATTCATTCTCAGAAAAAAAGGTACAAAAGCTGTCACTAAGTACACCTTTGTACCTAAAGTGTGCATTTTAGCCCCTAAAAGGTACATATTGGTACCAAAAGTGTACATATTAGTACCTAAATGGTACATATTAGAACCCTTTTGAAGGGTACTGCCCAAGTGACAGCTTTTGAACCTTTTTTTCCTGAGAGTGTTCTTTTAAGCTAATAATATCATAATAATAAACCGTACTGTACTTGGGAACACTGCTGGGTGAAGGCAAACAGCTGGAACCAGCGCACATGCAACATTGCAGGAAGGTTAAAGCCACAGCAGTAGTGTGATGTTGACAAATCAGTTAACAGCACGAGCTCAAACAACAGCAAAAATATGGGGGATATCTGCAAAATGAATGATTGCAGCAACCTTTAATGACTAGGCATCACACAGGGCTGGATGGCTCCTTGTGTGTTTGTTCCGTCTACCACGTACTTTACAAACACGCTCTCTGGATGGTGCGTGTCTGTTCTGAACGCTCTGATGTGTACTTCATACACTGCAAACAGACAGAGTTCACATGTCTGATAAGAGAAACACCTCAGCCCAGCACGCTAGGACAAGGTAACCAGCTCAGGGCTGCGGGGAAGAACAAAGCGAACTCAGGAGAGTCGACACCGACTGCAGAGACAGGTGAGGACGGGGGGTTTCATCCAAATTGCCATCATTAGCTCTTCCAGATTGGCTGCAAACCCTGTTTTCATGGTCCACCTTACTATAAGGAAAATATGTCTATAATGAATCTATTACTAACTGTCTTTGTGCATCCCACATGCTAGTGGTTCAGCCACTGAGGACTTTTCCCTCCAGATAAGATTTCTCATCTCAAAGTCTGATGGCGTGAGTCGGCAGACTCACCTCCTGATCTTTCATGTTCATCCCTCAGAGAAAAGATGAATCTTAGGCTAAAAATCGTCCAAGCACACAGCAGTTACACAACCAGCACTCATTAATATTGCAGCGGCTCTATACTGGCTCTATAAGAATGAGAGAGCAGGAGTGTATAACAACAACAACAACAAAAAAAACTTACTTCAAAGAGAACATACTAGCAAACATAAATGCACATTTATGTACCAATCTAAAATAAATTGTTATTACTGATATTACTGTTGCAGATCAAAGCATTAAAGGAGAACTCCTGCACAAAATGAACCTTTGGTCTAATTAAAACATTGGTACCTAGTCAACCGTTCTCTGAGATTTGTTTTCATGATAATCGAATGTAAAAAGTTTTATCTCTAAAAACTGTTTAGCTTATAACGCTAGTATATAGGGCATAGAGTAAGCAAAAAGAAATCGCTAGTTTCTACCACTAACAAGGCTCATAATAGCCCCACACTGACACAGTAGCATAATGAAGGTTCCTGCATGTAAAACGAAGCATTGAGAACTTTGTAAGTGTACAGATTGTTTAATAAGAAGATACTTTATAAAGACAGTCCATTTCGTGTATACAGGCGCCGCCTTCTTTGGAAAACAGTCTCGACAAGTCGAACCATGAACTTCATACAGTCCAGCTCACTTGCCACGTCGTTCGTGGTCCGACTTGACGAGACTGTTTTCCAAAGATGGCGCCGCCTGTATACACGAAGTGGACTGTCTTTATAAAGTATCTTATTAAACGGTCTCTACACTTATAAAGTTCTCAATGCTTCGTTTTGCATGTGTGGACCCTCATTATGCTACTGTGTTAGTGTGGGGCTATTTTGAGCCTTGATAGTGGTTTTAACTAGCGATTTCTTGTTGCTTACTCTGTGCCCTATATACTAGCGTTATAAGCTAAACAGTTTTTAGAGATAAAACTCTTTACATTCGATTACCATGAAAACAAATCTCAGAGAACAGTCGACTAGGTATCAATGTTTTATTAGACCAAAGGTTCATTTTGCGCTGGAGTTCTCCTTTAAAGGGCTAGTTCACCCAAAAATGAAAAAAATTGTCATCAATTACTCACCCGCATGTCGTTTCAAAACAGTAAGACTTTTGTTCATCTTTGGAACAATATTGTTAAACTATATTTTTTCCAGGTGACAGCCAAGTATGTGATTTCAGACGCAGCCAATAAGAATCCACAAGCTTTTAAAGAAACAAACACATTACAGTCCATTGGCATGGACAATATATTGATCATTATCTATAGAGTTAGTTATCGTTCTTGGTGTGAACAGGCCCCAACTCCAAATTTAAATGGAATTTTGTCAGTTTTAGTGTACTTCTGGGGTCAGTTTTGTCCACAAAGTTTATCCAAGTGTCCACACACATACTTGCGTGTGTGTGTGCGTGCGCGCGTAAAGCCTGAAGCCACACAGAGCAAGAGAGTATTAAACTCCCCTATGTGAAACTGAAGAATATCCTGTGCACAAAGACCAAACACCAGTTTTGATCCTTGCATACAGTAGAAGAATTTCATAAAAGAATTGGCAACACTTCCAGGAGAAGAGTCTGAATAAAAAGACCCAGGGCAAGATGCAGTGCATCGGACATGTTTCAGGTTCTTTTGTGAAGGCAACATGATACATGTAACCATTCACCGACACCGAGCATGATGAAGAATGGTCAACTATACACACCTTCTTTTCTCTCTCTCTCTCTCTCTCACACACATGACAAACACATTTCAATATCTTCTGGTTAATTATTAACACCAAGCTAGCACAGGTTTTTTAGAGACATAGTGTGACATATATGATGGTGTCATGATTTTTATTATGGCTGCCATAAAAATGAACCTGATCTTGCGCTGACGTGGCTTCACACCGAAACTACACCATAGGGGTCTCTGTGATATGAAAAAGAAACACTGCACACCTTTGCCTACGGGTGCAGCTGTAAGAGGCTACTGGATCCCTCTGACTGTTGGTTTGCTTTGTTCTGCAAACATATCTCTGGAGTATAAAATAGTCTCTCTTTTGTAGAAGATTGAACAGCTTTGGATATGTTTTCAAAAACACGTGGATAGGCAGACATGGGTTTTAGTTAAGCTGTGATGGCGGTGTTTCTAAACCTGCCATTTCCACAGGGGATGAACTTTAGAAGTATAAGTGTGACGTAAAATAAAAATAAAGAAGGCTTTAAAATAAATGTGATCTTACAGTCAAATGACTGTTAAACCTCCTGCTTCTTAAAAAATATGATTTAATGGATAATAACACTATTATACAACAGACATGTTACATATATCCGAAAGGAAACAATTAAAACAAAGAAGATATTTTGAAGAATGTTGGTAACCAGACAGTTGATGTTAGCCATTGACTTTCATACATATTATGGAAGTCAATGGGTGCCGTCAACGGTCTGGTTCAACAGAAGAAAGATCCACATGTTGTTCCAAACCTGCAATTTCAGTAAATGATGACAACATTTTTGGTAAAACCATCTCTTTAAGTCCTTATATTTACAAAATTAGTTATTTATATTAAACACAAATAATATATTGTAAATAAACAAAATTATCAAAAGTGACAAAGACTTTTAATGATGCTATAAAATATTTCTTTTTCAAATTAATCAAATCAAATTGTTAATCAAAGAATCCTGAAAAGATATTAAGCAGCGCAACTGTTTTCAACATATATAATAATAAAAATAAAATTCTTGAGCAGCAAATCAGAATATTAGAATGATTAGACTGATTAGAAATGATGCTGAAAATTCAGCTTTGCCATCAAAAATAAATGACCTTTTAAAATATATTCAAATAGAAAACGGTTATATGACTGTTATATGACCGTATTATATATATTGAAATAATTTTTTCTTAGGCTTCTTTCAAAAACTTCTTACCGACCCTAAACTTCTGAATGGTAGTTATTCAAGTCAAATAAGCACAAAATAAAATATGTTTAAAAAATAATTAAAGCATTTATCAAATACAAAATTTTAACTTACATTTATATACGAGTACAACTGAATAACAAAATTATTATATTAACAAAACTTAAATCAGAAATTAAATTATTCTTAATACAGCTCCGACAGAAGCAAAGCTTATTCATCCTTGCTGATTATAAAAAAATAAAAAGTATTGCCAAAGGTCATCAACTCCTCAGCTGTGTCACATTTGTTGCTTGCTTATTTCCAATTGGTCAGTTTAAAAGCCAGGTGCAATTCATACAAAGCAGTTTTACTAGAAACCTAACAAAACCTGCAGAGACACGACAACAGATTCTTGAACATCTCCAGCCCAGCCCTTAGGGGCCCCGTGGAGCCAGAGGCAAGAGACATAAACACAGTTACCAAACACATAACGGTCTCACATTCTCCACAAGTGGAACGAGCACACCTACAGTACAACCGTATGCTATAAACACAGCTCAAAACACATCTTCACATGCTACCCAGCATCTAATATAGCTTCACACACAGGCTAACCACAATCTTATTCACAAAATTACGATAACTCACAATGACAATGTTCTCTCAGAGTCCAACCAGGGGTGCATACACTCAGAAATACTGTGATCTGTCATTTATGTATGCTCTAAAGGTTTATGTACTCAGTCGCCTGGGACCCTGATGAAAATATAATCTGGCATTATGTTTGTCCTTCTGGCACATGGTGTGCAAACATATTCGGGAACGCATGCAAAGATGCAAAGTCCACTACATGTGTGGGAGTGCAATCAGGGTAAATATAGATTCCGTGGTTTTGACTAAAAACAGATACAGGTCATTGAATCATGATTAATTCAGAAACATCGCTTAAAGTTTCCTATCATCATATGATCTACACTGACACCGAATATCATGTTTACCTGTCACCCCTCCCATCCCTTGTCCCGACAGCATTCAAAACATTTATTAAAAATGCAAAGAGATCACCTACCTTAAAGGCAAACTTGCGGGTGATGTTGTCCAATGCCTGAACTGGTCCAATCTTGAAGCTGAGAAGAGGAAGGCTGCCCAAGACTCCTTCTTCTTTATCGTCTGGATTGAATAAAAAAGAAAAAAATATATATATATGTCAAAGACAAACATAAACAAAAAATAAAAACATTTGTAGGCCTATTATATCATTCCAACCTGGATTTTTAAAAAAGAAAAAGAAAAGCTGATGAGAAATTAGATTCACAATTCTGCTCTAAATCAGAAAAGTCCAACTTTCTGTTGTGTGCCGCTACACGGGTGATGATAGGCAGCGGTAATGGAAAAGCAGGTAAACGGCAGGTGAATCCCATAATAGATATCCATTTTTATCCCAGCGCAAAGCAACGCTAATGACACTGAAGCAAGCAGCGGTGCACAGCCTGGGAGAGAAGCGCTCGCGCTGGTTAAATAATGGAGGACATCGTTAAATTTTAATTCGCGAGGAGGGCAATGGAGATCCTGTGTTCTTGCTCTCGATCTCCCGTACTGAGAGCTGCTGCCGGGGAAATGCAGTGAACCCACCCGCGCGCATGTGTGTGTGTTCTGACAGCACTGTGTGTGCGTGTTTGTGTGAATGAGAGAGAGAGGGAGGGGTGGAGGAAAAGGAGGGGTGAAGAAGATTGTGTTTGTGCTGTATAGAAGAGAGAGAGCGAGCGAGCAAAAGATAGCTATCATCCCTCAGTGACTCAGTGCTGCAGGTATTCTGGCTCTCGACCAGCTGTACCTGTACTGAACAACCAATCAGAGTGTATTATGTCAACAAAAAGGCCCGGCCAAACAATTCTGAATAAGAACCATATACTGATAAGGAAAAATGTGATCTCTACGACAAACCTAACAACACATGACACATGAAATATGAACACTGTATAAATGATGGTTACATAACGACAACAACAACAAACACAATCTAAACCTGTCTGTCAGGGTTGTGATCATTACAGAGATTGACAAGAAATGCCACTCTCCATAATTTGTGAGTTTAGATGTGAGGTTTTTTCATTGGTTGATTCTTTAATTTATTAGCCTTAGTCCTCTACAATCCTGAAAACTAGTTAACTAGTCTGCATAACATCTATCCTTACTTTAATGATTCATCCCCTATATATACTGTAGCATTTGTGTCTTATTTTCCAGTAAAATGTCTAAATATGTCAGGGAATAAATTATATTTTGCTTACCCTGTTGGCATATTGCTATAACTTGTGTTAAGCATAAATCTAAAGAAAAGTTTGTTTAAAACAAGAACATGATGTAAAAATAAGTGAGAAACATAAGATATATTCAAGTCTTACTGTCTGACAATGTATTTTTAGATCACTATAAAAGAAGATTTTTTTGGTAGTCACCTATTTTTATCACTCTGAAACTGTGAAACACATATTAACTGTCCAAGTGCTTTGACATGCTTTTGTTTACTTTGATATGTCAGCCCATATTTTGTGTAACAGTTCTTGTGTAAAATTACATATTAATCACACATAAAATCACTGACTACATAATGGCAGGTACATGCCAATACAAAAGCCGAGACAATATTTACATTGGGGTGAGTCTTGATACTGGTTATGTAACAATACTAATTTACAAATTCTCTCAGAATCTGTTGTTTGTCAGGAAATAAGGTTTGAGAAGATCCATATTTCTCTTTTTAAACAGTTTATATTAAAAGCCATGACAAAAGGTGCAGTCGCATTTACTGTTTGGTGGATTTTCGAATGCAAAATCCAGTTATTTGGGGATTTTGAGGAGTGAAAGATTTTGCAACAGGTTGAAGTTGTCAATGCAGATTTGGATGATGGATCCAAATGGATAATGATGCTTTTTGGCACAAACAATTTCACTAACATGAGCGCACCTAAAAGTCGACATCAAACACATGAAGTTGCAATAGTATTTTCCTCCCTATTGTGTGTATTGAGTGAATCTTGATTAGATTGATAGATTGATTAATAAAGATTAAAAAGTCATATGACCTTTGAAAAGAATAATGATATTCACAGATAAATCATTTATAATATATTCTGAAATATTCCATAGAAAAAACAAGAATTATTCTGGTGACATTTCATGGTGGACAACTCATAGCGGTTTTGAGGGTAAGTCCTGACAAAATGTCCATATTTTGGTGAACAATCCCTTTAAGGGGTAAACAATCATTTCATCCAAGTTCTCTTCTTGTTATCTGGCATACTGTACAGCTCTTATATCTGCAGTGACAACAACAGAGAGCCATTTTTCAATGTTCCCCCATGTTCAGAATACCAATTGAGGCATTAAATTGCTCTGTCACACAACTCTTTTGCACAGCACAGTTGGGTAGAGGGATGCGGGGTGATAAGAGGACGTAGGGTGTTGTGCCTCCAAACACAGTGCCGTCGCCAAGATATTAAGGGCAGCCGTGGAGACGTATGGGACACAGCCAGTTTCTGAGCGTTGCTGATTGTGATTTTTAAATAAATGACCATCTTACCCCAGTGAGCCAATCAAAGAAGGAAAGAAACTTCCTGGTGTTCCTGGAGTGTGTTTGTTATGCCTCTGGCAGTGACTCTCACTGACTTATGTTGTTACGCGTTACATTTTTGAATATACAATGGTCTTTGTGTAAAGTAGTTGCAAAGTTTATTACAATGCAAGTGGCATTATGTTTGCCGGCATACTGAAACATGAATATCGCTTTGACCTTGCATCTAATATCAGATTTCTGCAGACAGAGAGGTCAAAAGTAGTAATAGTTCTATAGTTCCATCAAGAATATATATATATATATATATATATGATTGCTACGGTGGCCGAGAGAGCTCAATGCGCTGCAACTGAAGAAAACATAACACACAAAAGACAAAAAACACATGCAAATAAAAATAAACGCATAAACGGATACTCACAACAGCACCAAATACAGAAATGCACTGCAAAATACAGACCACAACCGAAATGTTTCCCGGGGAACCAAATAAGTGACGGACCCGGCTGGAACGTGTGGACGTGCTGGTGCTTACAGCTTAAAGTTCTACTTTATTTATTTAATTTTGCAAAACATACAGAAATCACATTTTTTTATGACATACAACTTCAATGTACAAAATGTATTAACAATATGTCCAATGTCATCAGAATAAAAATGAAAAAAGAACAATGAGCTGAAAACTAAAATAAATAAATAAAAAAGAAGAAGAACATGACGGAAATATATATTTATCTATACATCAGTTACAGTTATAAGAAATTTTAGGTAAAGTGGGGTCCAAAGCTTTAAAGTTGAGAGACAGATATATAACGCACATTTACTGAAGTAAAAGTAAAAATAAATGTACTTGCAACCGTTATGTTAACAGCATTATATTTCTGTGGTAAGACCAGCTCTTCAGTTGATGGACAATGTGCTGCGTTGTCATGGGAACATCCTAGGTGAAAATGGTGGTGGTGATGGCGCAGTGGGTAAGGCACATGCCTTTGGTGCGAGAGGCCCAGGTTCGAATACACTGTGAGACACCAATGTGTCCCTGAGCAACACACTTAACCCCTGGTTGCTCCAGAGGCGTGCGACCTCTGACATATATGGCAATTGAAAGTCTCTTTGGATAAAAGCGTCAGCTAAATGAATAAATGTAAATGTAAAAATAATGAGGAAATTACATCGTCTTTTGTTGCTCCCTACATCAAGTGTGTTTCACACGGCTACATAATGGCACACTAGTACCCTGCTCCCTCCAAAGTCCAACTTTAAGGACTCTGCTGTCTGCCCTTCAAAGGGAGTAGGGTATAGGGAAGCTCACGAGCAATAAGCATGTCCCAGTCGGGTTTGTCACTTATTTGGTTCCCCATGAAACATATTTGGCAGCACGTTTCTGTATTCGGTTGTGTTGTGAAACTGATGAAGATGTTTTTTTTGTTTTTTTTTTTTTTTCTATTTGCATGCGTTTGGTTCAGTTGCAGCGCGTTGAGCTCTCTCGGTCACCGTAGAATGCACTTCCTTGCTCACTACATTGGCAAGAAGACTTAAAAATTAATTGAAGACTCAATTCATTTCAATAGTTAGCATGTTGCTAAGCTAACTAACAACATGTTACAGTAATAACTATATTATATAACCAACGGGTAAAATAAAATATAATCAACCAACGGGTAAAACAAAAAAAATCATAAATTACATTTAAATTAAATTACAGAGTAACAAACTTGTTATTGATGATATTCAACATTATTCATAATCAATGCAATTATTCATTTATCTCAGCTCATCAGCCATCTTGGATTTTTTAGTTTTTTTCAAGCTAACACACAATTCCCAGAATGGAATTTTTTTTGGAAAATCATCTTGGATTTTTTAGTTTTTTTCAAGCTAACAACACAATTCCCAGAATGGAAAAAAAAAATAAACATTACCTACATTAGTTTGGGGCCAGTAAGATTTCTTAATGTTTTTTTAAATAAGCTTCTTATTATCCCTAAGGCTCCATTTATTTGATCAAAAAATTATAGTAAAAACAGTAATATTGTAAAACATTATTGAAATGTAATCTATTTTAATATTTTTTAAAATTAATTAATTTTACTTTATTCCTGTGATGACAAAGCTGAAAAAGAAATATATTTATTCACAAAAAAAAAAAAAAAAAAAAAAAATCTTATTGACACCAAACTTTTGAAGAGTAGTGTATAATCAAGCTTATTTGTTATTTATATGTCTGTGGTGTTTTTAATGTTTCTACACCATTGCTGAAAATTTTCTGCTTAAAACTGTAGTGAACCAAAATGCAGTTTGAAATCGCTGGTGTTTCTGACGTCACAAACTACCTTGAAACCAATCACATCAACGTGTGGATCCCTGAGCTGGTGTGAGTGATTGGAGGCGGGGGTAATTTGCATACTCATAGAACTGCGTATACTAAATGAGGCAAGAGTGTAGAGTTACATTCATGCTATTTAAAGGCATGGATTTTTTTTTTTTCAATGAAAAAAGTTTAAATATGTCATTTTGGTGATCGAAGAGAAGTTTTAAGGGATAAACTACTGACTACAGGGGGACTTTTTACATTTTGATGTTGCCTTCAGTATATGAGGGTAATGGAGAGGCAGTGTGAAGTAATTAGCCACAGAGACATGGGCAAAGTCAACAGGGTTGAATCATGCAGCCTTAGCCCCACAGGCCTTGCTGCATTCGCCGATATAATTAAACCTGCTCCACACAGAAAGCTTGAACCAGCCAAGAACCATTACTGTAGACCTCCTCCTCAGGGTAGACGCATGCACAGATGTTCTTCAAGTTTATGATTAAATTGCAGCCTGAGCTGGGAACATTTTTATGATCTAATGTGATAGAGTAATGGAGCTCTAATGGGTCTCAAATTTACACAACAAATAGGCATCACAGGGGCCAGTGAGAAATCAGGGTTTGCTCATCTGATCAGCAGGGATTAATCAATCAATCACCAAACACAGTCTCTGATCAGAAAGCATGTGTGAATCCACTTATAAAATTACAGGAGGCTGGATGTGTGTGGACAGCTTTATCCTCTATAGGTTTTGTAGCAGAAGACAACAGCCTTTAAAGCTTTGCTTATTCTAGCCCAAACAAACCGTATGACATGCGTACCCGAGCAGAGCCAAGAGGACGTCTAGCGTCTACACTCCCTTCAGAAAACCTGAGATCAAATGCTTGGGAGTCCTGTCAAAGGAGGATGCTTGTATGAAGAGAGTAAGGTACACATAACACAGGCCTGGAAGACTAAAGGGACGAGGAAGTCTTCAAGGAGAGGAATGATCTTCAGAGGATATTTGTGAAAGGGAAAAGACATCTAGGTCTAGTGGTACAGTTTAGTTTGGCATGGAATTTGTTCAAATCCCTACTTAAAGAGATTAAATTACATCCAAAAATGAAAATCGTTTACAACCTGTCATCGTTTACGTCCAAACCTGCGTGACTTACTTTCCTCTGTGGACCACAAAATATATTTTGAAGAATGTTTCGATTGTTTTCATCCATAAAAATAAAGTCAATGGGGTCCAAAACAACATTAGACCCCAATGATTTCCATTGTTTGGATGAAGAAGAAAAACACATTTAAGAAAATATTTTTTCCTTGTTGGGTAAACTATCCTTTACATTAGCTGCAAAAAAAATACACAAAACGTGACAGCCAATAATCATGCATTTTTAAATATCATTTCAATACATTTTTCAAAGTTGAATTTTAAATCCATTTTGGCACCTGCCCCGTCACTTTCAATTGGCATGAGGCTTCTGAGCAAACACGGTGCAAGAAAACCTTGCTGTTTTTACACGGATGATTGGCATATACACTCTCACAGAACAAGTTTGTTTCTGACACAGCACGCAAGTGTTCAATATACACAGCAACAAGAAGCCAGTGTCTGAAAACTGAGAACCAACTAAGAACAACACTGACAGCAAGTGAAGAGTGAACTTTACAGGAAGTCTGACATGTTTGGAGACGTCGAGAGACTCATTTGTGCATTAGCTCAGACAGTATCACTGTCAACTAAGGTCAGAGGTCAGGTGCACACATAAACACATAGAAATTGTCAATGGGTCTAAAATCAAAACTACTGTATGTGTCTGAATAGTAGCACCATCAATGCTGCTTTTAAAACAATGCACAATGAATCACTGACAAGAGTATTGCCATAAAATGACATAATAAGATGCGGAGAAAAACCCCACAATGATTACATAACTTAATGTTTTGATTTATATTCTTCTTAAGGATGGAGCATTCTTTAGCTAATATGAAGACAAATCACTGACATCACTGATATTCCCAGACAGTAAAGTATGTGGATTTTAAATCACTTTAGAAAAGCAATGAGGGACACAGAGGAAAATATGCAAAGAAAAAAGAGTGTTCAAAAGGAGTGCAATGAAAAATACATTTTCTTCAGGATTTTTGTCTTGTTTTCAAATAAAATTGTCTAAATATTCTGAAGATAAATTTACTGGAAAGATTTCACCCAAAAATTAAAATGATCCCATAATTGACTTATCCTCAAGCCATCCTGGGCTTTCTTATTTTAGCCGAACACAATCAGAGTTATACAGTATTTAATGATATCCTGGCTCTTCTCAGCTTTGTAATGGCATTGAATAGTGCCCGAGTTTTTGAAGCTCCAAAAATCACATCCATCCATCATAAAAGTAATCCAACGTGCGTATGGCCATTGCCGGAAGCCAGTGATTATAGTTTATACATTTTTAAGAAAACACGGGCCCTATTCAATGCCATTAAAAAGCTGGGGAAGAGCCAGTATATTATTCAATAAAATAAATCTGATTTTGTTCGGCTGAAAGAAGAACATCATATACACATTAAATGACCTTAAAGGAATAATTCACTCAAAATATTTAATCATTTACTTGTCTTCCTTCCTTTCAGAAGACTTCCTTATTCCATAGAACACAAAAGTAGATATAATGTGGTCATTCTTTTCCATGCAATTACAATTAATGGAGAATGAAGCTCTAAGATTTGGAAAAACATGCTAAAATAGCATAAAAATATCCTAATTTGGCAAATGTAAAAAAAAAAAAAAAAAAAAAAATGGTGAGATTCATGCATTAAAAAAAACCCCTCAAAGATACCCAATTCAAGACATTCTCTGAAGTGTATATACGCAAATGAGAATGTTTTTACTGGATAAAATAGCAGTGAGGCAGTGTGTTGTTGCGGCTAGAGGGAAGGGACCTGGACACATGCTGGACATGAGGTCAGCTGATGTGCATTATCCACAACTGCAGGCAACCACTCATATGCTGATGTGTCTAATGCAAACCCACTCATTTTAGAGAGAATACTAACAGCCTATGGAGTCTAAATTGAACCATTAAAATGTGGGTGGGGCTTAGGTGACAGAGAGGTTTGAAGAGTTACAGTATCTTGCAAACCCAAAAATAATTCATTTCCATTTACGATTAATTTCTATATTATAAATTAAGTCTGAAAGGGTTGAAACCCCAAATGTGACCAGTGTCTAAAGAACTGAGCAAAAAAAGATGAGAGGAGAACATGAAGGAACATCTGGGCGAAGCTTCATCCCAAATGTCTTAACACCCTCCTCTATCCCACAATGCTTCTGGGTGATGTTGATTCTCCACGCATGAGCTGTGACTGACCTTCACGGCTGGTCTAAAGGAGACGGTCATATATTCTCGTCACGCAAGATCACACACGCCGCTTTCTGAGAGTGCGTGATTGATGTGTGGGAATAGTGTGGGAACAGCTCACTACAAAGAAATTTGCGTAACACTTAATTTTGTAACGTGACATTCTTGCACCAAACTGAATTGCAAAAATGTCTTCCATTGGTCAAAAAAAACAAAACAGATAGGCAGTGGAAAAATCCCATCCCAAACTCACACAGCTGGTTGAGCAAATGCCGGGATGCTTAAACAGAAAAATGTTCAGTGCGCTAGATTTTACAATTTAACTCTAATTTGTATTTTAATTAACACGTTATGTATATTTATGTGAACATTTAAAATCATTTTAGGCTTCATGTAAAACCTATTTCCTTAATCCCCAACATTACACACTCTTTAGGAATCCAGTTACACTTCATTACTTTCTTTCCAATATGGGGACAAGTAGCTGAATATAATGTGCAAATTGAAATGTCATATAAAAACATGTAATTATCCCAATGCAAATTAAAGATAATTACTAATGTCTTGTATATGCCTCGGTTGGAAGGAACCCACAAGTTGGATGCTTTAGGTTTACAGTATGTAAAACCATGACAACATCAGCCAGTGTGGTTGTCAAGGCAACATCACAAGCAAGTTCATGCGAGATAACACACAACAAAACAAACATGTCTAAACATGACATCCTCTATTTATAGAAATCCTCTATTTATTTATAAGGGAAGTTTTTTAAGTTCAACTACTACAATTTCTAAAACCAAAATTGAAATGAAAATACATTTTTGGGTGAACTAACCCTTGAATAACCCTGAATAAAAGTGTTAATTTCACTTTTATGACCCCAAACTTTTGAACAGTACTACTTCTATGCTATTTTATGGTTTCCCAAAAAAATACCATTGATTTACAGTGCTTCCAAATACAGTATATACTATGGTACTTTTTCTGTTGACACAACATAGTTAATACAGTTTTCTGAGGCCTTCATAGAGGCTTCATACTGTATCGTGCTTGTGCTAGACTGTCATTATAGATTTACTTTTATACTTCTCTTCTTCGCTACTGGCAGCACACAGCCTGTTTGCTGAAACAATGCCATGGGACAAATTCAAATAATGTTTTATAAAACGGGTTTTAAAAAATCCATTTAAATACAACTTTTGAGCCTCTGGGGAGCTCACTAAAATGTTTAACCAAATTCACGAGACCTGAACTTATGCATGAACCAGCATTTACATACACAACTTACCTTTATAGTAGAAAAGACATCGATCTGTCAGCACAAACCAGCGCTTGTTCCACTGTTTCACACCACTGCTTGCCTGCATCACAGAAAAAAAAAATTAAAAAAAATCAAGGCCTTGAAACTGCATCACGTTTTTGAAGAGAGTGGCTTAAGTATGGATTATAGAGTTATGGCTTTAGGCTGTGAGAGCGTGTTTGTTTGTGTCTGTGTGGATGATGGTGAGGTTTAAGGATGAGCAACAGTACCTGCTTGTGAAGCCAACCCTGCCGGGCAACCTCAGCATTGGGGTTGCGCCGCATAGAGTTGGAACGCTTCCCAAATGTGGCGGTTCTCTTGGGTGTGCGCGTGCCCTGGTGGGAGAGTCACAGAGGAGTGTTAAAACAATAACACCAACAGCAAACGTACACAATCTGGGTTATGAATGACAGTATGAATGAATTACAATGGAAAGACATCCACAGCAACCAGACCATTGTTAACCAAAAAATAAAGGTAGCATTTTATGTTACAGTCCTGTTTCGCATGAACACACATTTACTTATTGTAGTAAGGACTAATAACTACAGTAAGTAGTAACCCTGAACCTACCGCTAAACCGAACCTTAAAGGAGTAGTTCACTTTTAAAAAAAACTTTTGCTGATAATTTACTCACCCCCATATCATCCAAGATATCCATGTCATTCTTTCTTCAGTCGAAAAGAAATTAAGGTTTTTGATGAAAACAGTCCAGCATTTTTCTCCATATAATGGACTTCAAACTGTTCAAAGGGCTTTAAATGATTCCAGACGATGAATAAGGGTCTTATCAAGTGAAACGATCGCTCATTTAAAAAAAAAAAATGACAAAGTTTAAGTTGTTTTATAAGCTCAAATGGTCGCCTTGCTCTGTTTTGTGATGCGCGTTCATGACTCTCCTGTTCGAACTCGTTTATCAAAATGAACAAATCTTTTTTCGTGTCATTTGGTTCTTTCAACGAACGAAATGAACGAGTTGACTCTGGAAAGTTCGAATAGGTGAGTCACGAACGCACATCAAAAAACAGAGCAAGGCGACCATTTGAGCTTATAATTTTTTTTTTTTTTTTTTGCTTGATAAGACCCTTATTCATCGTCTGAAATCATTTAAAGCCCTTTGAACAGTTTGCAGTTTGCACTGAAACGGTCTTTTGGACCTTGAACCGTTTGGTTACCAGTAAAGTGCATTATATGGAGAAAAATCCTGGATTGTTTTCATCAAAAACCTCTCTTCAAATGAAGAAAGAATGACATGGACATCTTGGATCACATGGGGGTGAGTAAATTATCAGCAAAAGTTTGTAGTTACTACAGTACTTTCTTGGGTAACTATACTTTAAGTACAATTTAAGTGCATGCACTGTAAAATAAAGTAAAATTAAATAAATATAAACTTTTTATTTTTATTTTAGTAAGATGCTAAGGCAAATTTCATTTAAGTTTAAGTTCAAGAACTAAAATTTCTAAAACTAAAATTGAAATAAAGAATTAAAGCTAATTTCAGAAACATTAAAAAACTAATAAAAATTATTAAAGCACATAAAATAAAAAAATAAAAGCTAATTTAAAATATTAATTCAAATGTTCTAATTCAAAAGTTCTATAATAAGATATGTAAATAATATTAAAATAAAGACTTGTTTGTTATAACATGTTAAAATAAAATTGTCTCTTTGCATCTTCATAATTAATATACCATATAATAAAAATGACATAAAATATAATATAAAGTAATATAATAATAAAACAATATAAAATATATAATATTTGTTTTAAAACTCGTATTTAATCATAAAAATAAATAAATATTGTTTTGATTCCTATTCTATTTCTAGAAACTAGTTCATCTATAGCAGCTGTACTGACCCGTGTGTGGTTTTGGGAGTCCGGGGGCATCTCAGAAACCATGGTGATATTGTTGGTGTTGCTGTTTGCTTCGTTGGCTTTGTTCACGGGCCCCCTGCCACCCGCCTTGCCGTTCATTTCCGAATCAGAGCTCCTGTGAGCACACACACAAAGCCATTGAACCATCTCAGCCTTTGATCGCGTAACAAACTTCTCATCTGCCGGCGTTCAACGCACCAATGCAGAGAAATCATTTTCAAACTAATACTCTCAAACTGGTGGAAAACTGAGGGATTATGGGAAGGAAGCACACAGGCATTTGGGAGCAGCTATTTTTATTCCCAACTGGCACCATCGTAAGGCCGCACCCCTGAGGTTGCAGTTTAAAAACAGGCGATGGTTCACAAAGAATGTGATTGGAGTGGCGAGTAGAGGGAAGAAAGAGAGAAAGAGTTGGTGGATGCAGGCCTGTAGTCTCGGGTCAATCGTATTGATCTCCTTACTGGGCCGCCCAGGTCCTCTCCAACAGCCTTCGATCTACCGACCAGCAAGATTAATTTACAATCCCCTAGAGCTGCCCGGTGGCTGAAGCTTCCATCTTGGAAAGCTCACTGAAGTGCATGCTAACATCCGCAGTCAGTTTATAGCCATACGCAAGTCATTATGAGCCTCTGAAGCAAAGAACATTACATAAACACATATGGAACAGAGCATGCACATATAAATCAAATAAGGACATAAAAACACACACAATCATTAGCGCAAAGTGGGAAAACACACACACACGACAGTAACAATTACTACATTAGGGCACGATACAAACATCTTTGTGCTAATTATCTGGCTTTATTTAGCTACCGTTGCAAACAGCGGTAATGTTCAAGCAGCTTCCTGCTTCGTAAATGGAAATTAATAAAATTAAATCCTGGCTGGATCTCAGCTTTAATGGCATGGCCTCTTATTAATGTGCTATTGGCTCTCGACTCATTATATTGATCCAGAGGAGAACAAGAGGTAAGTGCATTCTCATTGTCCTGGAGGAACGTTTTACTAAATTTATAGAGGAAATCAAGGAAATTCTGACACGTTTATCCTCCACCTGTTATCTGATGCAGCTTAAAACTAATTAATAAAATGCTCTCAGCGTCATTTATCCTGACATCACCATTTGTTTGTATTTATGTTTCCGCAAGCAAGTGCACAATTATTGTATAGAGACTATTATACAAAAAGCCAGACAGAACAGGGCTGGTCTGACAAGTAACTGTTTTTCTGTCTCCTCATCTCCTTTGGGGCGTTCACACTGACATTTTCAGAAACAACGAGCCAGATGTTATTCATTTTCAATGCGAGTCGATTATTTACACTAGTATTACATGAGTGACACTGACTGACTGTTGGGAACACCATGTTTTAAGTAAACTGACTTATTAAAATATATATATTTTTTATAATACAATATTTTTACACTTTAAAATAACTGTTTTAAAATATTTCAAATAAAAAATTTTAAATTTAATTTATTCTTATGATGTCAAAGCTTAATTTTCAGCATCATTACTCCAGTCTTCAGTGTCACATGCTCCTTCAGAAATCATTCTAAAAGGCTGATTTGGTGCTCAAGAAACTTATATAAGTTACTTATAATATGTATAACTTATATATAATTTCTTATATGATCAATGTTGAAACCAGTTTTGCGTACAATTATTTTTTGTGGATTCTTTTGATGAATAGAAAGTAAAAAAAAAATAGCAGCATTAATAAAAAAGGAACACATTTTGATCAATTGAAAGTGTCTGATGAATACAAGTACTAATTTCTTAAAAAAAAGAAATTTCTCCGACCCTACATTTTTTGATGTTGCATTTACAATCTATCATGAGGATTGGTACCACAGCCAGACAAAAATGGTTACATGAATGAGTTTGTGAGCCCTTTGGACTGAAGGAATAGTTACGGTCTTTTTTGAAAGACGACCCTTGGTTAGTTTGTTATAATAAAAACAACAAGGTATGTTTCCAAGCTGAAATGCTTTTCACAATACAAACTCTTATTCAAAGGCAAAGGCACTATACATCTAACGGCATATTTACAAAAAAATAAACAAAAGATCACTCACAGCAAGGGCTTCAAAGGTCCGTTATCTTCCAGGTATGTCTGGATCACTTGCTGGTGTCCAACAGTTCCGTTAGGGTCATTTTGACTGAAAATACGAAAAAAAGACACTTTTCAGACTGATTGACAAACACATTATAAACCAGCCAAAACAATCTTTCAAAAACAGTCTAGAAGAATGTCAAGCCAAAAGCAGCTGGAACTGATTTTACATTTGTTTAAGGTGCTCCCAAACTCGTTCTTATGGCTTCAAACCTGTTTCACAGCAGGCACATCCCTTCTTTATTAATAATTCAGCATTACAACATCATGTCCGATCAATACACGGCCACTTTCTTTGTAAGTCCACATGCTGTGGAAATGAATGGCTGTCAGAGCTTGTGAAAGAGCGTGTTAAGTGTGGACAGATTTGCACTCAATGCCAAAATATCAACATGAACAATTTTTGAACAAAAACATGTCAGAGTTCATACACACCTATTATATGCAGTCTATATTCAGAAAAGACATGTCTTTGTCCATATAAAACCCAATGAAGCTTGGAGTTCAACTTCCTGTCACACTTTCTCTGACCTCGGCTCGTGTGTTCTCCCTGTGGATGTGCGCTTGAAGCTTGTCTCTCGGGTGTAAATCCTACAAGTGTTTTCATTGCTGCGTGTCATTTTTCTGGCTATTGATATTACAACTGCAGAAGCGGGAACAAGAAAATACATTTTCTTTGGGTTTGGTTACTGTTTCTCTCAGAGAACCATGAAAACACAGAAATCAAATCAAAACTAGCATTTACAGTATAAAAGATCCAGGCCATAAGGTATAATTTTAGGCATGCTACAGTGAGGGTCAAATTTAGACTTGTTTTGCTTTAGGAACCACATAACAAAATGAGCTACTTAAACTTAAAATAAAATGAAAAGTGAAAATATAAAAATAAAAGCTTAATTTAATACTATAATACTAATAATAACACTGATTAAGTGGTGTCCCAACACAGTATTGGATGCACAGCCTTTGACACCAACAATAAAATACATAGGCTTATAAACTTTTAAAAGGGAGAGGAAAATATTTCCTATTTATTTTTTAAGTTTTTTCACGTATGCTTAATCACAATGGCTAATTGTATTTCATCATTTGCATTTAGTATTGATTTTACCTGTCTGGAATGGTAAATGTACTGTAAATAAGTAAAGACAATTAATTTAATGCATTTATTGTTTTTGCTTGTGAAATATAGTGAGTTTCACATGAAGATAACAACTAGCTAGAGTTAAACCTATATTTAAACCAGACATGATCGCTAAGCTAACATGAAACAATGACCACTACAAGGCTTTTGCTTAACCCGGTGTTAAATAGAAGTTAACCCAGGATTAAGAATACTTTCAACTTTGAGTTAATACTTCACACTGAATGGGTGTTAGCACTTTTAACCCTAGATTAGGAAGCCCTGCTAAATGTTGTGCTAACTTCAAAGTGCTAAATATGTATATTTACACAACTGGGAGATGTTTTTGTCCATAACAACTTAAAATTACATCAAGTATTGCATTTGCTAGCTACTGTTTGAGCCACAGACTAAATTGTGAGGGTGCTAACATGTTACGCCCTGATAGCAACCAACAACTAATAAACTAAGCAATTCTTGCTACATAATTTCACAAATGTTCATACTCTGTTTAGTTTCACTGTCTGAGAGAAACAGTTAAAAACATTGCTAGCAGTATTAACGAATTTATGCGCCGACATTTCCCCAAGTGTACAAATCACATGCTACACTTGTCTAATGACAATAACCTTGTAAATATGCAAATAAGAAATTTAACTTCTATGGTAACGCATTTACAATGAGGAATATGAAAACCTGACTGTGCACAACCAATCTGTGCATTAAGATGGCACAAGGTAACCCAGCATTAAGCATGGGCTAAAAATCAATCTTGTTTAATAATTTCAAGTGTGAAAAGCCTGTTTCTTGGATCTACTGAAAAAACACTAGACTTAAGGTCCTTATATCCATCTTCCTATAGTCCTATCTCTTCAGTTTGATGTTTTTCCAACATACAGCAGACTTCAGTGTTGTTGCTGTGTACTCGAACAATAAGCCAAATTCAACCACTTAAGGATAACACAAGAACTCAAAGTCTGTGTAGCCTCTGTATACACCGACACACAATACATGTGGCCTGATAGGTCGGGGACAAGAAGCACAAGCCAAGAATACACTCATGCTGAAGGCATCCACCTCTTGACACCAAAAAGGTACACACACCAGAGCTCTGTGTTCCATATAACACCAGAGGACACACACTTAAACAAATCTAGCATAACAGCCTAGCCACTGAAATCAGGTTGAGGTGTGTGAGTGCACGTGTGCGCGCTCCAATGTGGTCCTGCCACTGAGCACGGTCGCTCGTGTGTAACCTATAAACCTACATAGAGGCACAAGGCATTAATCTGCTATAACCGTTGCTAATATGACCACCAATCAATGATTGAGTTGTTAGCAAACAAGAAATGATTTACCAGAATCGGAATGGAGCATGTAAACGGAACCACGCTGGAATCCAGCAAGGACACAAATGAGGTGCCAACACATGCACTGGTAACAAAACACGCAAACTTTACACAAATAAACCTCAATATCTTGTAAAAATGGTCCACGAGAAAGCAAGCACTGCATTGCAGTCCTGCCTGACCTCCAGCTCAGAGTTTCCCCTCACACTGCTGGCTGCCGCTATAAACTCTCTCCCAACATCCTGCCTTACCTACCTCACTCGCCGGTCCGCGCGGAACTTCAGCATTTTCCCCCGGATCAATCATATAAGTCAGTGGGATGAGGCCAGGTGGAGAGAATAGCAGGTTTGTGATGCCGGCAACAGCGAGCCTTTATTGCAGGAGCTGTAGGGTGTTGGATACAATAATTGCTGTCCTCTTTTCTCTCCTTGAGCATGTGTGCTGTTGCCAGCCAGCCAGCTTCTCTCTCTCTCTCTCTCTCTCCCTCCTTCTCTCTCTCTCACTTGCTCAACCTCTATATCTCATTCTGGCTCTCTTGCCTTCTAGATCTGCTCAGCTCAGCTTATTTGGATTTGTCGGACTCTCTCTCTCTCTCCCTCACACACGTGGGGCCTCCTATCACAGATCAGATTGAGATGTAGATGCTACCCCCGAGCCTACCCGAGGAGAAATTATGACCAGAACTCCCCTGGGACGGCCATGACAGCCTTGGATGTGGTGAAGGGGAGTGGCCGAGGTAAAAAACAAAAGTCGCTACCCACTCAGGTAGACTGCTTTGCATCTGCATCCGCCCCCTGCCGAGCCTTACCCAGAGACTCACAGATCACTGCCACACCAAATCATTAGATCTGTATCTTACACTGGGACAAGCTCAACATTAAAAGCACCAAGCAAGAGTCTGGCATATTAAAATGTAATTTTGTCATATATATTCACACGTCAAATCCCCTTTAATATTGTCTATGGATATATACCCAGTGATATTCCCCCCACTCTAATGACTCAATCATTTATCTCTGAGTAAAGCAGGATTCCTGGGTAGCTACAGAAAAGATATGGAAATCTAACACAGGTCATATAACTGACGTATCCATGCGTCAATATCAGGGCTTAAACGTATACAACTGACTTTACCTTTAACGTCAGTTAGGTTTAGGACCCATAACCTCATCTACCGACGTTTTAAACGAATATTGACGTATGGTCAAAAGACGTCCCAAAACGTCAGTTATATGACGATTTGGGATGAGACCGGGTTGGGAAATCAGGCAAGTATCACTATTACTAGTGCAGGACCCTTACCTTAAGTATTAAACTTTGACTTGCGTCTCATCATGAATGACACTTTACTGTCCTAAATCAGGTGTTTTTCATATGTTGGCGGATTTTAATAAATCCCATAGAGTAAGGATTGGCCATATCTAGAGACCTGAATAATCCCATTGTTTTTCACTTGACCTAGTAAAAAAATCATTTAACAACCACTCAGAACACCCAAGCAACCACCTACTACAGCCATCTAAATATCCCTAGCAGCCATCTAGCAACAACCCACAAGAAATCCCAAGGAACCCATAGCAGGGTTCCTAAAATCCAGTCCTGGAGGACCACTGCCCTGCAGAGTTTAGCTCAAACCCTGATCAAACTCACCTACCTGTGATTTTCTAGTGATCCTGAAGACCTTGATTAGGTTGTTCAGGTGTGTTTGATGAGAGTTGGAGCTAAACTCTCCAGGGCATTGGCCCTCCAAGACAAGATTTGAGGAACCCTGCACTATAATAGCAATCATGTAGAACACCCTATCAACCCCCTGAATACCCTTATAATCATCCAGAACCCAATAGCAATCACCCATGAACTCAAGAACACCTTAGAATACTCCTAGAGACCTAAGAGTAACACAGAACATCCTGGCAACAATCCAAAACACCCTAGAAAACTCATGTGTATACCCTAGTAATTACCCAGAACAACCAAGCAATTGCTCTGGACCACCATTAACCACCTAGCAACCATCCAATCACTTAGAACACCCCAGAAGCCACCTACCCAATGGCAACTATCTAGCAACCCTCTAGAACTCAATAGCAACCCCTCAGAACCTGGCAATCACCCAGAACCCCCCATCAACCACTGATAATTCATGTAGCAGCTTCCAAACATCCCCCTGGAGGACTTTGCAATGCCCTGGCAACCATCCACAACAGTCTAACATTGGGTGCAGTTGCACTGCAGTAATTTTTATACAGGCAAGCAATTTTCTTTCAGAAAGTGTAAAAATGTTGTTCGAAGTTAACTACTTCTCTGCTAAATCTGTTTAGTTATTATTTTTAATCTTTTTATTACATAATAATCTTTCCATAGTCACTATCAAAAATAGTTTACAAACTAGATAAATATATTGCATCTGCCTATGTACTGTATATATAAAAGAAGCACCCGGCATCTGCTGAGGTCAGTGTAACGCTTTACCTCATCAAGGTATGTCAGAGCTGTCAACTCTGCTGAAAACACATGGCGGTCATCCCAGTTCGTCTATCAGTGGGCTTCCATTATATGTGGTCTCACCAGATG